GTCTTAAGTTGATTTGTTTGAAACATTATACAATGAATAATGTGTAATCAATATGGTGATAAATAAAAGGTGGTTCTATTTATATTCAAAAGGGTTCTGAGACCATATTGGTTCGATTATTATTGTGTTTCACTTTGCATGTTTTGACTTCCAAAATAGCTAGGTTATTCTTTCTGAATGACTAAGTTATTTAAACACTCCACAGTCGTTCATATGTTGGAAGTAGGTATGAATCAAGACTGTCATGAATCGGGTTTGTAGATGGCTAAATGGTTTAGCCATAGCAATGGTTGCTACAACATTCATGAGTGCTCATAAGTTATGAGTATTGGAATAAACCCACGCTCACTTGTATCAGTTCATGAAATTTATCTCGAGTGATCGTGAGATGGTAATATCATATAAATCTTCAAACCTAGAGATATGAGTTGTTACCTATGAGTTGGTTGTGCATTGATTGCACGTAAACGCATCAGTAACTTGATGTTATAAAACGTGCCTTTGTGTACAATTCAACAAGTAGTAGAACAATATATGAGTCAAGTTTATCTGTTCCTTCTAGAAATAGAAGCGATATCTGGGCCCCTCGATGATTTTGTTGTGACCTATGTACCGGCCGGTCAGTATTAAATTGATGTGTTCGATTAAGTTCTTTGTCAAACAAATCGAAAATCGGGAAACAAACTGCTGGACAATAAGTACGACGTTGTTCCATGTATTTTTCCGGCTGATATCATGAGAACAGAGGATTATATGATCACTTATCTAAAATGGCGCTTCATAGTTCAACAGAGTTTTCAAGAGCTACGATTGTTGGTTGGTTCCTGAAGTAACATACGCAAATACAGTTATTAGACTTATCCAAGTGGGAGTCTGTTGGATAAGGTGTCTAAGTCTATAACTTATTTAGTATATACTTGTCCTGACCCGACATGGTCCATTTGGGTTGCATTTCATCCAAACTATTTATGGATAATTTTATGAGAGTTATACACATATGATTATTAATATATTATAAGTTATAATATATTAATATGAAGTCATGTTATTTAATTAGTCTTAGTCTTAAATTAATTATGAATTAATTTAGAGATTAAAAGGAAGAATAATTAAATTGGGGGCTTTTATATTTTATATAGTGTGGGCTAATACTCATTAGTTAATGGGCTAGGCTTATATGGAAGTCCATGGATGATCCATGGAGCTTGTAACCCATGGATCCTTGGAAAAGGAAAGGTCATGGGTTATTAGGGTTTCACGCTAATCATGTACACTATATAAGCATGCTTATGCTGCATGAAATAGCCACTAGTGGAACTAGTATATGTGTTTGTGTGTGACCGATTTTATAGTGTGTATACACTCTCTCAAAGTTTTCCAAGAGTTTGTGGTGATTTGTGATTCCATTTGAGGCATTCACACTATTGGTGCTTAGCCCTCAAACTCCTTAGGAATCAAACTCACACTACTAGAAAAACAGCCTTTTACGACGCTCATTGCGCGTCGTAAAAGGCTCAGACGACGCGTAAATGCGCGTCAAGGAAGGCCCTGTCATAAAGAGAGACGATGCGCTTTTGCGCGTCGTCTATACGACGCGCATTTACGTCGCATCTACGACGCGCAATTACGACACGCAATGCGTATCAAGGAAGGCCCTGTCATAAAGAAAGACGACGCGTGTGTTAATGACACGCAATGCGTATCAAGAAAGCCCCTGTCAAAAAAACATGTCATAAATGAAGATGACACACATTTTTGCGTATCATAATTTTAAATGTTTAAAAAAAATATTATTTATAGATTTACTAATTTTCAAATTAAATAATACATTATAAATCTCATAATACAAAATAAAATACCATAAATAACAAATATAATTCGTTTCACTAATATGTCAAATACAAATTATTATTCCAATGGTGAGTAAATGTTATAAAAAAATGAACTCATTTATATACAATTGCATTATCTAGCTTACTATGTGCCAACAACTCTCTGTGTGTTTACTTTTGCTTGAGTCTCGTTTGCTCCAAAGCTTCTAGCCATGCCAAAATATGATATCTTAAATTCATCAAGTCCTTGGCGTGAAGTCTTAGATAGAAGCTTAACTGCAATCTCCAATCCTTCTAGCAGAACCTAAAGATCATTATTGGCCACGTAGCAGGATCAACCTGCAATCTCTTTTCTGCCTTCTTATTACTTGCAGCATCTTCTGCCTGTTTGACCAAGGTTGTGCCTTCAGCAGCAACATGCTGCATTGCGTCAAAAGGATAAAAACAGATGACAACAAATACAAATAATTGCATTCTACTTAAAAAAATAGAATCCAACTCCTAAATCACAAACCTGTTTAAACATACTAGAGACAGGATCCAATCCATGGGGTATTTTTGGAAAATAATTCCATCACAGAACAGAAAACATTCCAGAAAGTGAAAATCAGATCTATAGCATTGGGAAAATAAAAGTATACAACATAACATGTCTTTAGCTGATTCGTCCACAGAGACAGTAAAATTCTGTAAATACTTAACACCAAGCGATTAGGTTTAGCACAAAGCATGGTTAATTCGTGCACACACACTACTAGAAAAACGCTCAGACCATTGTCTGTAATTGTAGAAGATTTGTAACCTGTATTTGGACCCCTTGACTTCAAAGAAGGCTGAGAGGTGAGATTATCCAGCAACTTTTCATCCAACCCCATATCACAACGTTCATCAACTGTAAAAACAACAAAAAGTATGCTATGAATTTTGCTATTTAAGTCATTCATGATATGTTGTAGCATTAATTTCACACAATAAACAGATTTAACATAACATTATTTTCACGTGGATTGGAACAGAACAACAACCAATTGAAACAAGAGTGTCGATTAGCCTATGATAATTTTATAACTGCATAAATATACTATACTAATCTGATATGCTATGGGCCATTACGATGGAAAACAACATTTGCATTTCTGGATATGCTATAAAGTCTAATGGAGTCAATGTTACTAAAGTGCTCAATTTCAAGACTTCGTGCACTATAAAACATTATTATGACTATATTTGATCCAACTAAATCAATATCCCAACCATACAAAGGTATAAATATACTAAACTAATGATATGTTATGGGCCTTTAAAAAGTCTCATTACTGCAACTATTGTAGCAAAATTGTCATCAGTCAAAACCACGTCCGAAGCACTCTGATAATAATTATTATTAATTTGCTATATTATAACCATAAAGTCAACATAAGAAAGAGTTGACTAGTCAAAAAGTCATCAAACATACCTTTGCAACTGTTGTGCCTGAGTCCATGGCAATTCCTATATCTGCCTTCTTTAATGCAGGTGCATCTAGAGGCACTACCAGGGACCACAACATTGTTTGAAACTTTAATATACTTGATATACTTGTAACCTGTCATGTTATCACATTCACATTGCAATAAAAAAAATTAATAACACATCATCATAATCATAGATCATGGATCATGGATGTAGTTTAATTTAATAAAAAAAAATTGAGGCAGTGTAAGTAACATGCCAGTTGGGGGAACAGGTGGATCATCAACTAAATTTGTTGCTGGAATGGGAATATTATCAAGGCCTCTACTGATGTCTTCACATACCATCCTAACATTAAAAACAACAAATTAGCCATGTCAGTCACTAAAGAAGGCTGCCCTTCCATACGCTTGAGAGAAACTTGTAAACATAGAAACCTGAAACCCCTTTTTCTGCCCAATATTTGACAACCTGAAAAAGAAAAACAAGTATAATTTTAATGTTTATATAAAATTATTACCTATTTATTCTAAAAGAAATCCCAAAGTGTCTATTAGTCTACCTTGTACAATCCATCATATGTGTAATTTTGATTCATTATTGCTTACCACAATATCAATAAAATTGTCAAACATTATGTATACAGGTGTGACACTTGCTTCTGCAACCTATCATTTTCCTCCATTAAAAGCTATAATTTTCCTCCATTAAAAGCTTTGGATTCAGAAACTAAAGATGGGAAGCCTATTTCCCTCTTTTCTCCTTGCATCTGTAAAGATCATTAACAACCACAAGGTTCAAAGTTAAACCTACACAACCATTTGAAAAGAGATTTGGAAGAAAAAATTGCTATATTCATAATCATACCATTGATCTTAAAACCAAACTTTGATCTGTTTGGGTTCAATATTGGAGAGAACAGGGCATTCATAAATGGGGTGCTGACAGTAAATAGAACCGGGTTTTAGTAAAATCCAGTTCTGAGCTTCTGACTCTGAATCTTTGAAACCCAATAAAAGAATAAGAAAACTTTGAAACCCAATAAAAGAATAAGAAAATAAAGCTCTCATCTTACCTAGTTTAACCACATGGCGATTGATGATTATAATTCCCCAACGATTGTTTAGTATAATTACCCAACGATTGTTAAGGGCAAAAAGGTAATTAAACCTTTAAAGCTTCACCTGCAATGTATTTTCATACTAGTTAGCAAAGATGGTCCATTCCATCAAACAAGAATCCTATTGTGGGATCATTTGCATTCTACAGATGTTGACAAGTCAGACTTGTTAATTAATGCATAAGAAATATAGGAAAAATAATAAATCATGATTCATGAAGTATACATACACACAAACATGAGAATAATAATTATCAAGCTTTCCGATTCCTCTTATTCTAAAAACATTCTGCAATGACCACTATCAAATTATAGTTGAGATCCATTAATGGGATCCCAAATTGAGAATCAACTAGAACATACATAAAGCATTAGGAATGTAGAACATTTCTTCTTCTTGTCCTATTTCAACATTCTATAATTAATCATGTCTCTTAATTACCTTTAGCCATCCGATCATCTCTCTTATAGCAGCAAGATTGCTGATTATCATATAAGAAGAAAAAAATCATACACATTGTCACTAAGGCATATCATCAAACAATTGGTGTGCAATAAAGATCTATTTAAATTAGGATTCCTAAGTTTTTTGATCACGTCTAACTATTAATGAGTAGTAACATGTGGTTTGATTAGGCATCAACAAAGATTTTAGCATGCCAATTGATCAGGCTTAGACAACAAATAGCCAACCTACAAAGTAGTCGGGCTCAAATGAGGGGCATAGCAACACATACACAGGTAAAATGAGGGACATCATAAGATCTTCCAATGCTTTTTGTTGTCAAAAGTCCCATTGTCTTAGCACATCAAAAACAACACCAAGATTTCCCATGCGATATACATAAATGAGGACCCTGATAAATGGTAATAGTTCATAAAAAAGAATGCCAGATGGAAGTACCTCTATGAATTTTTGGAAGACTAACTGTTCTGATATATTGGAAAAACTTCATATTTCCGAAAATGCCCCTGAAAATGCCCCTCTTTAGGCATCTTCTCCATCAGATGGAATAAGTTCCACCGCTGAAATTCCTTCTTTGCCCCCGACATCGCCTACATAGTATATTCCTTAAGGTAAAACATCAGCCAAAAAATAATAATAAGAAGAAGGGTAAGGACGGAGCTGTGATCGAATTAAAAAGAGAAGAGGGGGCATACCGGTTAGCAGAAGGCTTATCTGATTGTAAAAACAATATATTCTCTATTTCCATTATTACCAAACACAACCACGTAACCTTAGACCTCAGTTAGTTGTTGAATCACCGAGCACAACCCTAAATCTTCGAGGAATCACAATCGCCGACGAGGTGAGGTGAGACGACGTCACCAACCTATTGTAAAGAGGACTCCTTTGCGTTTTGAATGGTTCTTTGAAAAAAACCCTAGAATCATCCCTTCAATTTTGTGTGTGTGTGTGTGTTTGAGAGAGAGAGAGATAGAGATAGAGATGTGTGTTTGAGAGAGAGAGAGATAGATAGAGATAGAGATAGCGATAAGTCTATGCGTGTGAGAGTCAACATATGTTGAATAGGATTTTTGAAAAAAGAAGTAGAATCGTCCCTTCATGGCGGGCCTTTCAAACTTTTCGGAATTTCATTTCCCCCAAAAGAACTAACCCCGCGTTTCATTAAAAAAATATAAAGCGACATACATAGAGGACGCCCATTTTAAGTTATGTGCCCTCCGTGTTTTTATTTTTTTTCAATGTGACACTTATTTTAGCACGCGCGAAAATGCGTAACCTAAATCCTTCTAATTTTCCAAGAGTAGACATTATTTATAGGGCACACACTAATGCGTATCATAAAAGAGCGCATGTCATGGTTCGCGCGTCATAAAAGGCTGTTTTTCTAGTAGTGTCATCATCAAAAGGTATGTAATCTCATCTAATTCTTTTATGTTTAAAAGTACCCCATGCCATGTTAGATAAGTTATGAACCTTGGAAAATTATTATTTTGCATGTATTTAGACAAACATAGATCCAAGGTTTATTAGGGTTGCATGCACACTTAGGAAGTGTTAGATTGCTCAAAACCCATCAGGTAAAGCTTCAAACAGAAAAGCAGCATTCTTATAAACAGAAATTGAACCATTCAAATCATTAAAAGAATACTTAAAACCTTGTATGAACAATGCATGAAATGAAATAATGTTTCTTGTCATCTCATACGAATAGCAACAATTCAATAAATCTAATCTAACATCATCACTAAGCAAAAGTTGATAAACTTTGATCTTGGTCACTGGTGAAGACTTCTTGTTTCCCATGATCAAGTTTATCCTTCCTTGCTCTGTCTCCTCACTTTCCTTTAGCCCCTGCAAATCAGAACAGATGTGAAAACCATATATCCTGTATCAAGGACCCATGAACGAGAAGATAATGAGTTATTAGAAGAAATAGTGTAAATACCTGCTGAGGACGGCTTCAGTTTGCAATCTTTGATATCCTACAGATATTGTGGGCAGGTTCTCTTCCAATGCCCCTTTTGATTGCAATCAAAGCAAACAACTTCCTTTGGATCATAGACATGGGGAATGGAAGCATTGGGCTTAGCTTTTGGGCCTCCGCTAGATGACCCGACTTGGACTTTTGCCTTCCAGTTTTGCTTTGGAGGACCTTTCCTCCTTTTCCCCTTTCACTGTCCAATAGCTAGAATAGGAGCACTTGCAGGAGTGGAGGCTATACTTTTACCCTTCATCCCTGCTTCAGCAGTCTGCAACAAGTTGTGCAATTGGGCTAATATCTGCTCAGTGTTGTTCAAATGGTATGTTAAGATAAACTGACCATAACAATCAGGTAATGAGTTCAAGACCATGTCAATGGCCAATTCTTCATCAAAGTGAATGTTGAGCTTGACCAAACGCTCTATGTAGCGCTGCATTCTTTGCACATGAGATACAACCGACCCCCCCTCTTTCATCTTGCAAGCCATGAGTGACTTGACTACTTCAAACTATTCTTGACGACCTTGCTTATGGTACTTTTCCATAAGGTCCTCGTTCATCTCAAAAGGCCAATAGTCCTCATAGTACCTTTGCAGTTTTGGGGACATGTTTGCGACCATGATGCATGCCACTTTGGTAGCATCATCATAGTGCTTCTTGTAGGCAACATACTCTTCGGGAGTGGCTTTGGACTCATCAAGTTCTTTGAGCTCCTTTTCAAGGACATACTCTTTGTCCTCGAATCTAAGTGCTATGTTGATGTTACACATCCAATCGTTATAGTTAGAGCCATCCATAACAACTTTGGATCAGATGTTGAGTAAAGAGAAGTTGTGGCTGGAGGATGATGAAGCAAAAGTGTTTCCAGGAGTAGACATCTGAAAAGAAAGATAGTTTTAGTTAAATTTCAAGGCACCTCAATATAATAACCCAAATATATCATATCAAGGTTAGGACCCAACTATGACGATTTACAACTTAGAAATGAGATGCCAAGAACCAAGTTCAAATCTCACAAAGGTAGGTGAATGACGATTCACCAATTCCACCATTAGACAAAATAATCGAAGTGAAATTCCAAATTCTTTTGAGATACATTAAAACTATTAATGGCATGTTTTAATCTTGAATTATGCTCTACTATTTGTGACTGGGATACCGAGGATCACAAACTAGATGTGAATAACCATGCAAATGTTCTTGGTAACCTTATTGTCTTTATCATTAACTATTGATGTGCCGGTAAACCACACACGCTCCATCAAAATGATAATTATAAGATACCCATTACTAATCTTTATTAGTGCCTATTAGTGTGTCGGTAATCCACACATGCTCCACCAACGACCAATAAAGCATAACGTGCAATTTCATGGATTAGCATACTATTCACATTTTTCCAAAAGTAACTAGAGTTGGGATTTTGTAAAAAATGTTCTAGTACTTTCTTTAATAACATTATACTATTAATGAGATGTAGTTGTCCTATCAAATCCGTTCTGCTAACGACCCTCCACTAATCAAGGAA